TTTAGAAACAAACAAGACAAATGGTGCAGATTAGGGTTGAGGGTGAGCTCAGAGAGTCGGATGGTAGCTTGAAGGAATACCTTCCTTCAAAAGTAAGAGCTGTAAATGAGAGGGGGGGGTGGTAGTTGAGGAAACCATGTCCCTTGACCTCACTCTTCAGAGCCAAACTTCTTCAAAGACAACCCTACTCTACTTCCTCCTTACCCACTCACTCGGCTCGCTCCACACTTTAGAAAGTCCCCATTTAAAGGTTACCAGCAACCTTTAAAACATCAAGTCCTACAGCTACTTCTTGCAACCTGGTAGTCTTGGCACTGACAGTTTTTCAAGTGAATTCCAGACGTCACACACGCTCCTTGAAATTGGTGACTTTTTTCTTAGCTACAGCAAGTGATGACCTCTTCAGAGTCGGGGAAATAAGCAGCCAGAAGTCTGACAACTGAAGATGTGTGCAAGTTTATGTTCTCTGAACTATCTACACTCCAAATACAACTGAATTACGAGTATCTAGCTTCCTAAAGAAAGCCAATGCACCTGTTTCAAGCTGCAAAAATCATATGAGTTTGGAATAAGCCTAGTACATACCACAGTTAAAGATGTTTAATTTGGGGGCTGGAGAGATGGTTTTAGGGCTAAGAGCACTTCCTTCTCTTCCAGAGCACCAGAGTTCAGTTCCCAGCACCAAACATGGTAACTCACAACAGCCTGAGACTCCACTTCCAGAAGATTTGATACCCTCTTCTGACCATCACAGGCTCTTTCAGTGGGAGGTGTACTTATATATACACCGGGGGATACACATACACATAAAATAAAGTATTTACAATGTTTAATTTGTAATACTAGTTGTGCCCTTATATATATTTTCCTAAGCATGTAGTATTTTAAAATTTTGCATTAGAAAAATGTTATTGTTTATAATGATGATGTAGACCTGTACATTTTTGAGGTAAAAAAAAAATGTGTTTTCAGATGTTTCTCTTTCAGTCTTGATTCCTATATTCTTCCAAAAAGGGAGCTATCTCTGAGCAGAGACTCTCAAATGGAAAGTTCTTGTGTTTAACTTACATAATAGATTGCTTCCTTTTTTGTAGCTGGAAACTTTGAGTTTCATGTGGCAAGCAGATGCTGCCCCAGTGCTGCCCCCATAGTCATTAGCCTATAATGAATCTATTAATTAAATATGTAAGTTTGACTAATTAGATGGAAGACATTTCTTCAGATTTAAAGGGTAATAATAAAAAATTTAAACTGCAACACCAAATCAAGCATTTAAGAGTTGATAAATGTGAACTGGAAAGTGCACAGTTCCAGCATAAATTAGTTAATCGTCTCTTGTTAATTTAGGTGAAATACATTAGTGGAAAGGTCAGTCCATTTGAGGCTCGATCTGTTTTTCAGATACTAAATTTAAAACAGCAAAGCAAGAGCAGTAGGAAATGAGCCGGCATCGGAACCCAAGCTTCTGACCCAGAGGCTGTGGAGTGGGACTATGGTGATGAATGCAACGCCCAGGCCCCATTTGAATATCAGTCAATACCCTGCAACCATTTTGAAAATGCTCCAGTTTCCTTTCTGTTGTTGTAACAAAATGCTTTGGAGCAAGCTCACAGCCACATCACTGAAGGAAGTCTGGGCAGGAGCTCAAGCAGAAACCATGGAAGAATGCAGCCTACGGGCTCACTCTCAGGTTCAGGCTTAAGTAGCTTTCTTATATAGACCTTCTGCTCAGGAACGGGGTTGCCTATAGTGGACTGGGCTCTCCTACATCAATCAACAAGATGTTCCCCCATAGACATACCTATAGGCCAGTCTGATTTGGGTAATTCCACAACTGAGGCTTCCTTCTTAGCTGACTAGATTGTGTCAAAACTGACCTGACAGAGAGTAACTGCAGTCTCTGGAGTGGAGTCAGGCATTCATACTTCCCCCCCCCCCCTTTTCTAACTCCCTAAATAATTGGAATCAAGGTTAAAAAAAATCACTGGACTGTTCCATGAATGTCTGTCCCCACACCCATAAAATAAGCAGGAGTAAGATGGCCAAATATATAAACATAAGAAAACTGCCACTATTACAACTAATGGCTGCTTTTCTGCTGTGGGGAAAATGAGCTGGTTTCTTCTCCATTTCTTCTCTTTCTTCTTGCTGGGTCACACACTTAAGATCACATCATTTGGAGCTGGGCAGTGGTGGCACATGCCTTTAATCCCAGCACTTGGGAGGCAGGGACAGGCAGATTTCTGAGTTCGAGGCCAGCCTGGTCTACAGAGTGAGTTCCAGGACAGCCAGGGCTACACAGAGAAACCCTGTCTTGAAAATTTAAAAAAAAATCACATCATTTGAATCTGGAAAGCTAAAAGAGGTATCAGTTCTGAGCATTTGCTTTTGGGAATTCCAGTTTAAATAATTACTGCAATGGATCGCATCTGTGTTGACTTTGCTCTAAAAAAAATGTCACAAGATGGGGTTAAGGAGAAGGTTCAGTCAGCACAGTGCTGTGGCTCTGAGTTCAGTCCCTAGAAGCTGGGTGTGGTGGTACATTCTTGGTATCCACATGCAGGGAGACATGTGAAGAGAGCAGGAACTCACACACTGGCCTGTCGGCCCAGTCGCATCAGCGGGTTCCAATTGAGTCTCTCTTTTAAAAAGTGTTAAAGTAGATAGCTTCTTGAGGATCAACACTCAAGGATGTCCTCTGCTCTCCAGGGCATACACGTGAGCACATATATGCATGGAAAACAAAAACAGGAGTTTTCTGTTGGACCTCATGTCGGACAACTCTGTGTTTATCTTTTGGGATTTGTACTTGTTCCCATAGCAATCAAAAGTACAAAGAGACCCATGGAAAGCCCCAAAGAAATAATTGAGGGACTTTTGTCTTCTTCTGATATTGTCTTTCACAACCATTTTGCATTTCTCCTGAGGCTATTCAATGGTTTTGTATATTTAATTACTGTCATTCAAACACACTACAAATTCAAGGATAGGGACATGTCACATAGGGATGTGTATGTGTGTGTGTCTTTATAAACTAGTATTTCCAGGTTTATCAACAGTAGCCAGGAAGTCATAGTTACCCTGAAGAGGGGCATATGCATGTCTGAAGCAAGGCTCTTTGTTATTTGCTTCTGGGTGTCCGAAATGATGCTCAGATCCTGCCACTGGATGCCTCTTGTTTTGGTCATGAGTTTTCCACATGACATTTATAGTTGAGAAGTAGTTAACTTTCTTCCATTGCTACAAAGACATCTAGTATCCCTCATTTTCTTTTCAGTGGCCCCTCCCAGGATGCAATGGAGGACAACAAGGATTGTTCATTTAGTTTTGTTTTCCAGTGGCTCTGAATATGGGTCTTTATCCCCAACAGTACTGATGTTCACATGAGAACACTTTATTCCCCCAAAGATCCTTGAAGGTGAATGTCTACAAAAAGCCAGCACTTGGGAGGTAGTGTGTGCAGAAGAACAAAAGAGCTCTACAGAAAGCAACAAGAGCTAAGAATTCTGTGTCACTGAGGTAAGGGATTTTAAAACTCAAAAGAAAAATGTAAACTCAGGAACATAAAATGGTGGGTGGGTGCGTATCTGAATTATATGCCAAACACTTAAATGGTTGGAAAACATCTATTAATATCTCCAGACCTGGGCTACTGAGGTGGCTCAGCAGGTAAGAGGTACCTGCTGCCAAGCCTGACCACCCGAGTTTGGTCCTGGAGATCCACATGGTGGAAGGAGAGAACAAAAACAAACTTATGGAAAATTGCTTTCTGACCTTCATACACATACCATGGACTGTGCACTCACAATCCTCCTCCAACACCATGTAAGTGTAAAAATCTCCTATCCTGACATAGTAGTAGTTGTTGTGCCTAATTTGTGACTCACACAACTCTACCTCTAAAGTCTATGTGAGCAGGTTTCAAGTATATTTTCTATGCCATCTTTTCTATGGCATGTTTTATTTTTAAAGATGTCTTAATGACAGTCTTCCTTCTAAACCATCTTCTGTTTAAAATGTTTCTGAATCTCCAAGATGTTTTCCTGAAAATTAATTCAAACTAAATTTTAGTGAGATGTCTTAGTATCAGACAAAACACAAAGAACGTTAAACTTATTCATCTGAACATACACACCGTCAGCTGCAGAGGGCGCTGATGCCTTTCCCTCCGGCCTGGCAGAAAAGACTGCCAGCTGGGATCTTCATCTCCCTCTTTTAAAGTGTGGTTACTGATAAAACACAAAGCTCAACTGTATACCTGGATCACTCATTGTAGCCTGTATATGAAGTAGAAATGGGTATTACAAAAATCACAAATCTAATTCCCACTTTTAGAATCATCTCCAGGAGTCCCCCTGGACGATCCTTTTCAAAAGGAAAGTATTATGCTCTGTATTGAAGCAGAGTTTTGGAGTCCTAACCAGCCAGTGACCCATATCCTGCAGCCACACATACTCCTTCCCATGGAATACAGTGACCGGAGGCCACATTAAGATACGAGGGAGTTAATATCTAGAGAATTTTTATAGTTAATAAATGGTCCAATCTCAGCCTCTTCTGGGCATTAGGAGGAAGAACTAATTAAATGGGTGTTTAGATGGCCAATAAAAAGTTAATATTGATGTTAAATAAGTGCATTTGTTTTATAGAATATTCATAATAGGTCCAAAATACTTCATTAAACATTTGTGGGTAAAAATAGGTAAAGCTCTTTATAAAAGCTTTTGTTAATGAATAAAATGTATTTCACTCTAAATACAATCTGTGTTAAGCTTGTCCGTTAGAGTTTTCAGAAAACATTTTAAATAAAGTGGCCAGGCGTATCCCATTGGCGACGGAGGAGACCATTAGGAGACATTTAGGTTTGACATGAGCTCTGAGATCATTCTGCATACAACCCAAGGGCCCTGATTTTTTTTTTAAATATTTTAAACAATGTGCCTCTTTCAAATCATTAGACTTAAAGACATTTAAGGAACTGATTCGATTAGCCTGGATGATAGAAAGGCTATAACATGTGATTTATTTTTTTGAAGATAAATTACAATGCCAGCATATCAGTTAGAAAAGGTAGGCTGTCAGCATGGCTAGTGATGGAAATGGGAAGGCCATTAAGCAGGCCATCTGATGCGGAGACTCTTCCAGAACATAGGGGCTTGACGCTCCAGCTGAATGTTCAGCTATCATTTAAACAAAGGTACCTTCCTAGAGAGGAATCTTTATGTCCCATTCAGGTTCCTTTGTTGATTTAAAAAGCACACTTCTAAATAAATACTTGCATACTCTTAAAAGTGTGTAATATGCAGCCCAAACTGTTATGGCTGTATCACTTAAAGATGACCTTCACATAAAACCCAGACCTGGAAATTACAACATTGCGTTCCATGTTTCAGGTGAGGAAATATGAGGCAAGAATTTATTTTTCTCCTCTACAGCTCCAGGATATTGGCTCCACTGGGCCTAATAAATTGTTTTCACAAGGAAACAGCATTCTGTAGCTTAGGTTACCTGGTGCAGGGGGTTTCAAATGAGATGTATCCTAAACAATAAATAATTACAGATTGGGGAGGCTGGGAGGAGAAAGGGTGGGAAAAATATGTTGTAACCAAATCAGGGGCAAAGACCAAAACTTAGAAATAGGAAGACCATTTCCAAAATTATTCAATCTATGAGAGGAAACGAAACAATGACAAAACAAGATAATAAAGACAAAGGAGAAAAGAAAGAAAACATTGAGAGACATGGAGTCTTTAACATGGAAGAACATAAGTCCTGGGGGCCTACAAAACGTAGACTAAAGATGTATTATGGCTACAATATTCTGTTCCCTGGTAAATTTTTTTCCCACCTTGAAGTGAAGCTGTTGGTCAAAAGGTGGCTGTAATCTTGAGTTTAAGATGTCAAGGGTTTTCCCATCTTAATACACGAAGGAAAGCATTTGTACAAATGCTTGAATGTAAGCATGCGTAGTAAAAGATGGGACAAGTAACAAACCTTACAGAGAAAATGTGCTCTCTACTCAGTGAAGGTAAGGAAATTTCGTCCACTGGCGGAAGTGGACAGCTACAGCACTTTCCCTCAGATCAGCCGATATGAATGTTTTAGCTCCAGAGCCTCCTGTTTAGGGACAGAGGAAGGCAGATGGGAGACAGAAGACTCGGGTCCTGTGCTGACCACTTCAGTATCTAATAACAAGTGTTAAGGGAGAGGGGCCACGGGGGGATGGTTCAAACCAGCTGTGACTGAGCATGACTCGGAGACGGCCAGAGATGCTAGGCCAAGACACACTCCCTTACCTTCCAAGATAGGACTCGATTTGGCTGCACCAAATGTTGATAAATCCCATGAGCCATGCATACTGACTGGTCTTTCAAATTGCAGGTAGTAAATAAGAGATGGAAGAGATGGGTCAAAAGTGCAAACTTCGGTTTATGCTTTTAGACAATCCTTCCAGACCATTTTCAGCCATCCAGACCAACGCATGTTTCCTCTTTTTCTTTCTTCCTCAAAGACCTCTAATGGCTTTTCAGTACTTCCATCATTAAGTTCCCCAGAAGCATTAAGGTTTCCACAACCTGGAGTTAACTGTCTTACCAGCCCTGTTTGCTGCTCCTCCAGTGCCATCTGATGCTCCCTGGAACATTGTCAAACAGCTCTGTTCAGGTGCCTTTGCTGCCTCTGCACAGTGTTCCTACCTCTACCAGTGGAGTTTCACTTCTCTAGCTCCCAGCAGGGCAAAGGTCAGCTTCCCTAGATACTCAGCCTCCGCTTAGGAGGAGCACCAAGGTCTTGTCCTTTTCCACTTTTGAGAATTGTCCCTCTCATAGTCAGTGATCTACAGATCTATAGGAAAGGTGGTGAGCTTACCAGGGAGCAAGGCTCTTCAGCTAGTTTTAAAGTGACCTCCAGCACTGTGCCCTGCTTGGAAGATGGGGAAAATACCTTTGAACAAAACAAACAAATGAACAAAACAAAACAAAAACACCCCAAAAAACAACTACAACAATAAACCAAAACAAAGAACAGCAACAAAAACTATCTATTTGCTGGGGCTTTTGCTCTTCTACAAATCCTGAGATCCCCCCACTCCCCAGCCACACTCTCTCTCCCTCTCTCTGTCCCCCGCTCCTGTAAGGGTGGACGAACTTGAACTTCTAATCCTCTTGCTCCACCTCCCCAAGTGGGATGCTGGGATTTACAGGCATGCATCACTACCCCAGTTCGATGTGGTGCTGGCAACTGAACCCAGCATTCTAGGCAAACTCTCTACCTACAGAGCTACCTCCCCACCAATCTTCTTACTCTTTCTCAGTCTTCTATAGCTTAAATAAAAGCAATTCTCAGTAGTATATTCGGTATTAAGACATACTCTTTGGCCATAAATGTTCCCTGTGAACGGAAATCTCTCAACTGCCCAAATTAAGCTGTATTATTGCTCTACAACACAGTCCACTCGGGTCACTTTAGGCAGAAACTCTTGAGTTCTCGGAGCCTGGAACTTGTCTCACAAACTCAAGACAACAGCATGCTGTCTGCATAGAATCTAAGCACTAATCAATCCCGAGGGATGATTAATGAACACATCTAAAGTAAGTGTTATGTGGTGAACAACACGCAAAGAAATGATTGAGTCAAGGGGTTCTGAAAACGAGGAGCTCAGTCTTCCACAGAAAACCAGGAAGAATCAGTATGGATAAGGCCGTGAGGCTTTCACGGGGACGGAGGTGGAAAGCACTATAGAGAACTATCTATATGGGATCGTTGTATTAGTTCAATGATTCTCCCACGCTATGTGAAGTGAACTGTCTAGGTTCCTGCTCCCTGATCAGCACTCATCTTAACTATAAGGCTGCTTGTAGGACGAGAAGGGATGGAGATGGAAGCTCAACCCGGAGGTCCGACAGGATGCCCAGAAGTGCAACAGAAAATCCCAAGCGTTTCTGGATGTGGTTGGGACGAGGAAAGGGCTGGACAGAGAACATCAAGACCGGGACTATCCAGACAACCCAAGGCAGATGAAGCCCACGGCCTCAGGGACAGCTAGGCCGCGGGGCCGGCAGAGGGCAGCAGTTGGGCTGAGAAGCCTGCCGGGGGCCAGCGCGGCGACGGCGGTTCCAGAAGGTTCTCCTTGGGAGTGTGGGGAGCATCTATCACCCCACCCAGCGGCCACGCGCCCTTCGCGCCACGTGGAAGGCTGGGCGAAGGCTTTCTCGGGCTGCCCGGGACCTCGGGGGAGGAGAAGAGCGAGTGGAAGGGCGCGGGGCTCGGCGTGGGCCGGGGCTCGGGCGCCTCTTCTCCGGAGTGGCCAGCGCTAAGGCTCGCGGGGCCGCCATCGGCCAGCGCGGTCCCGCCGAGGCTGCGCTCCAGCCGTCGAGGGCCCTCGGGCGCGGCCGCGGGAGCGTGGGCCGCGGACTTGACCGTGCGGGCGCCGCGCGCGGCCGTATGCAAATATCCTCATGGGCCGGCCCCCCGCGCCTGTGGGCCGCACGTCCAATAAGAAGCGCCCCCCGCTTGACACCTGCCTATATACAGCGAGCGCGCCCCGGCCGCGCAGCGCCCCGCGCACACCCACCCGCGGCCGCCCATGACTTCCAGCGAGATCGCCATGCCCGGCGAGGTGAAGGCCGACCCCGCCGCGCTCATGGCCTCGCTGCAGCTCCTGCCGTCGCCCACGCCCAACCTCGAGATCAAGTACACCAAGGTAAAGCCGTCCTGCGGACGCTTTCTAGAAGCTTCCTCTGGATCTCTTCAAGGCCGGGGCCCGGAGGTCCCCTGTCATCCCCCGCGCCTCCGGGGGAGACTGCGTTGCGGACTTCTGAAGTCGCGCCCGGGCTTGGGGAGCGTCTTTGGGGAACCGGTCCCAGGCCAGAAGGCAGCGCGGGGATCACCAGCGGCTGCGGACGGTGGTGACGACCTCGGAACTGCCTGGGGAGGTGGGATTTCCCAGAGCAGACCTGGGTCCGGTCCTGGGGTCCCCTAGATGTCCTTAGGGCAGAACGAGGCTTAGTTCTGGGGTCCCTTAGATCTCAGAGCAGACTGGAGTCCGGTTCTGCGATTCCTCCAAGTTTTATCAGAGCAAATAGAGTTCGGCTCTAGGGTCCCCCGGGTCTCCTCAGAGCAGTCCGGACTCGGCTTGCAGGGGTGTTCCCCTGGGTTTCCTCAGAGCACACCGGGGTGCAGTTCTCTTGGTCCCTCGGTCTCAGAGCAGAGCGGGGTTCGGGTGGCGTTGCAGTCTGGTGTCGCCCCGCGGTCCCTCGGGTATGGGGCCGCGCGACCGCGCGGGGTTAGCTTCCCTCAGAGCGGAGTCGCTGAAGGGTTGTCAGGACCGGAGTCCAACAGACTTCGTGGGGACCTGGACCTGGCCAAGAGGCAATAGGTCTATGCCAGGATTTCGTCGGGATTTTATAGGCAATGGACATTTTAGAAAAAGGGAAAACAACTTAATTCGCACAAATTAGTGAGCTCACTTTAGTACTGATAAACCTAATGATTTTTTTCCTAACGAATTCTGACATCTTAGTTTGTCAAGCACGAATTATTGTTGTTAAACTGCATTAAAAAGCAGTACACGCCTGCTGCCCCATGTAAATTGATCCTCCACCACTACCGTTCTCGAAAGAAAAAAAAAATCCATGAGAGGAATTTGTGAAATACATACACAAAGGGATTGAATGTTACAGCAAAGAGGCGAGTGTAGCCTTTAAAGCCACACTTCTTGAGAGTTCATTTTAGAATTCGCTTATTTGATTTTCATTCCTACCACAAACTTTTGCCAGTTAAATGCGGCGCACGCACACTATACAGCTGGTAAGTATTCCATCACGGGCATTAGATGATACGCGGCAAGTAGAGAAGTTAAGTTGTTCGCATCTGACAACTGTTTTGGTTGAAAAAGAAATGCAAAAACATTGTTTCTGAATTGCATTGAGTTTCAGAATAAGGATCAGTAGGATTCGTATTTTTGAATGTGGGTTTAATGTACCTGTTAGCTTTTAGATGGTGTGACAAATTTTTGAAAGCCATTTTAATGAGAGGTCGTTAATGGTTATAGCCCTTTAGGCATTGTTTGCATAACAATAGTGCCAGTGTGTGGCACATCTCCGGGTTTAGGAACAAGCCAGGGAAGCATGCACATAAAAGTTTTGTTTTATGAGGGTCCCTAACCTCTTCAGATGCGCTTTAGAGATCTTAAGAGGCAAGATCCACAAGTGATTCCAGAGGGTTTGTTTTACACTTACTTTTGATCAGATTATCCTAACAGCCCCTGAAAGTCTGCAGTAGATATCTTTTTTCAGAATTTCATTTGGAAGCTCCTCCAATTCTCCTTTTCTCTAGCCACCCCCCTCTTCTCTCTCTTGTTCTACCCCAGTAGGAAAGACAACTGATTTATAGCTAATTGGAGCCTTTAATGTTGGAGTCTTTTTAGCTCCGTGAAGACTTTTATCCAGTATCCACTTTCCCACTTATTACCAAGAAAAACAATCAGAAATGAAATAATGGATTGTAACTTGATTCTTTAATTTGTGGGGAGGAGGCGCCTTATTTTTTGTCTTGACAAACAACCCTTGTAAATGGTAGAGTAACACTCATCTACAGAGGAGCTCTTTCACAAAAACTTGTAAAATCAGGTATCTGTGAACACTCTCAGCTTCTGTGCTCAGCTCTTCAGTGAGACTTGTACACTTTTTAAGACAGGATAATGAACAATCAGTTCTAGTTCATTTTATTTTAACAGAAAAAACAGTGACTTTTGGTAGCCTAAGGTGTTTTTTTCTTTCCTCTTCAAAAGAAAGAGTTGGGAGGTCTTTTAAAAATTCATTCGTGATCAAAAGTGAGGGGAAATATATTAGCAATTTCAAACAGCACAATGAACAAGGTAGCTGAGCAATCCTTTAGTGTTATCGTATTTGTTAGGAAAAATTTAAAAACAACAATTCCTTGGGAATCTGTTGGAAAAAAAAAGGAAACAAAACATTTGCATCAAATAAAGGTACTATGCAGCAAATAAATTTATAATTAATTTTGTCTTGTTAAACATATTCCTATTGAATGATACTATAATATGATTTTTCTATATGACTTGACAAGAATATAAAATAGTTACCAACACAACTGGTCAGATTATGAGAATTTAAAGAAATGTGTTCTTAGAATATTTTGCATTTGTGATGCTGCATTTATCTGCCATTTTCTCCTTTTACTTCTTCCAAAAGGACTTTGCTCTTTTAAAATAAAGGAAATGGGGGGAAATAGTCAATGTTAATGCCAATGTCTGTCAAAGGTTCTGTAAAAAATGCTATGAAAGCAAAGTTCAATCTGGAAGCATCCTGAAAGTGTGTAAGTGTGGCTTTACATTGGCTTTTAAGCAATTGCATTCCATTAAAAATAAAATAAGCCTGCTGCTTGCTCCAAGTTCTAGTATCCAGTTTAGACTAAGGATAAATGACAGTAATGTCTTTGGAATGTGTCTATTTTCTTTTTCTCCTCATACAGGAACCCAGACCCCAAATTTCTTAAATGATTCTTGCTAGGAAATGGGAGTTTTGTTTGTTTCAAGACTTATAGTCAAGAAAGAAGAATACTGTTATAAAGAAAGCATGGGGCACCCATGTGGAGCTGAGAACGTATGCTCCTTTGTGTTCTTTGAAGACTGCTTAATAGCTGATCTGATTGCGCATAGCTATGCATTTCTCAATTAGTTTTTCTTAGTTATTTCTGTTTCATCTGCTTGGTTTTTGTATTGCAGGCCGTGTTCTGGGAGCATACATGTTGTAAAACTAAGGCTTAGCATTCTCCTAAGAACTGCCCCTGACTTCTGGGAGGGGTGGGGGTCTCTCTTCCTCTCAGGATCTCCCTTCTTTCTCTCTCCCTTTTGCAGATTTCCAGGTCTTTAAAAAGTTTCTTTATTTCACTTTTCTGCTTTTTCTGTTGGCTCCATCTTTCCTTCTGGCTCTACTGGTTCACTCTTGGAGTGAGCAACTGAAAAATAATGTCCATAGCTGGCAACATACAGGGTTCTGTGTTCTCCCAGCATTTGATGCTATGGAGAGGTGTAAGGGTCCACAAAGAAGTCATTTGTTGAACACTGTGTGCTACACCTATAAGAGAAAAGACAAAAGGCAGCTCACTGGGAAAAATCAGAACAAATGTATATCTGGGTATCTATTGTTTATTCTTTTATTTGTTCACTTAATAGCCTTTAAGTAAGTGCACTCTGTTTTCCAGGGTCAATTTCAACTCAGTTCAAAGGGTTTTTGAGGGACCATGTTCTTAACAATAGTGTAAATTGGATTTCTGAACATCTGCCTTCTAGGAACTTAAAGTCTTATTAGGAAGATTGAGTGCCAAAATTTTCTTGTCAACATATCTGTAGATCAGTTGATCAATGTGATGAGAATGTTTGCAATGTCTCTTGCATTTTTATAGGGCCAATTGCTTTACTTAGCACTTTCACACGTGCACACGTTTTAATTCTACAAAATCCTTTGAAAGAGAATAAAAATAGAAATGATTGACAAAGGAGAACTTGGCCCTGAATTTTGAAAAAAAGATAGAGTATTCGTGTCATACTCTTTACTTTTCTTATTGACATTTTTTTTTTACTGTAGAAAACTTAAATCTTCACTTTTTTGTGTTACTTCTAAAAGAATCAGAATATGAAATGGTTCTACTCCACTTAAAAGAGTCACCTCTATAATTTTTCCTCAAAATACATTTACTTTTAAGTGTATTTAGGTATTCCTGAGTATATGCATGCGTACTACATGTAGACACGTGTCCAAGGAGCCCAGGGAAGGGTGTCAGATCCTCTGAAGCTGGAGGGTGTGAGCCACTTGATGTGAGTGCTGGCAACCAAACCCAGGTCCTCTGCAAGAATAGCAAGTGCTTTCCACTACTCGAGCACCACCACCTTTCCAGCACCACCTTTACAATTCTTGATTCATTGACTTTAATTTGCTGTTTGTTATTCTTGCTGTTGATCT